CCCCCCCACTCTTGCCCTTGGCGGGTTCGGTGGGGTTTATTAGCGTTATTTATGATTGTTTTCCTTGGAATGGCAAAGGAAAAGCAGAAGGTGCTGTGGAGGTTGAGGCTGGGTGGGGGCACGCTTTGCGAAGGAGGTGGTCCTGGCTTGGGCAAGTCCTCTTGTCACCCCCTTGCCCCAAGTCCTTGCAGCACTGCCTTGGTGGGGCCACGCGTGCGCAAGCCCCCCCAGATCCCTCCAGAGGTCTCCTCCTCCTCAGCCCTCCTTCCTGCCTCTTCCTCTAGATCCACCAGCTCCTCTCTGGAGGGTGCAGAAGGATCAGGGAAGCTCTGAGGGACCAGGGGAGGCCTGTCGCAGGGAAGCGTGGGGTGGTGGCCTATTTTCAACAGTGCCTTCACCTGGCCATCTGCTCCCCCTCTCCACTTTCCCCCTTCCAGTTGCCCATGGGCACGCCGAGGGGGCAACAGCACCAAGGCAGGACACTCACCCCGGCCACAAGGAATTTTGTGCTCTTCTGAGGTCAAAGTGGCCATCGTGTAGGTGGAGATGGGGTTTCTGCTGCTCCACAAGGACACGGCCACGCAGGAGATCTTCCCTGGGGAGGCACAGGGGAGGGCAAACGGGATGCTTCAAGATGCTGTCCATGTGGCCACCCTCTTGCCCCGTTTTGGGTGGGCTAGGCCCTTACTTGGCTGGAGTGAACTTATGAAGGTGAAAACCAGAGGAGGGTTAGCTCCACCTCGTCTGCCCCTGGGATGGAGGCAGAACTGGGTTCCCAGGTGCAGCGAGGTGTGACGGATGAGAAGAGAAGGGAAATGCCCTGCACGGCTGGTGGAATCCTTAGCAAAGCCACTGGGGCATGTTAGCAGTGGGTGGGCATGTACAAGACACCAAAAAATACCCAGCTGACATCCCAGCTGTGAGGGACAGCAAGGATGGAATCAAAGCCCTGGGAGGACAGGAAGCTTTACAAGTGTCAGAGTTACCTCGAGGAAGTGACCTCATCCTGCAGCTCCCTTTCCTGAAGCAATTAAGTAGGATGCCCATCACAGTTTCACCTTTTGGTCTTCAAATGCACTTCAGTAGGTGGACATCTAGGAGCTGCCGTTGAACCAGCACCTCCAGCACGGCCAGGGATGGTCAGAGAAGTGACAGTACCTTTCTGGAGATTTTTCCTTCTCGTGGCTGTGCAGGTTTTGCAGGGCAGAACAATGAATAATAAGAAGAAGATCCTGTTCCATTTGGCACGTAGTCAGCTGTGTATCATGACAAGTGGTTTGTTTAATGTCACATAACCATGGTGATACTGGTATGCCTTTTTGCTCTCCACTGCCTTAAGTTGGCCATCCCTTTTGAAAGCCAAGCACACATCATATCACTGCCCTGCAAATGCCCTTTCCTATTTTCGGCTTTCAGAGGCTGGCAGCTGCCAGTGAGTTACGGAGGATTGGCATGAGACCGCCAGGAGCAATAGTAGGGAAGTCACAGCCTCCATGGAACCTCATATCTCCAGGTATTTACAGCCCACACAACAAAGAATTAGGAGGGATGGAGCTTTCTTCATCAGGGCTTGCAGTGGGGTCCAGGCAGCGGTCAGCGGAGCGGTGCCAGAGGAGCCCAGTTTGTCCTTGTTTATGGCCACGGCAAAGTGGGAACACAATCAGTTGGTTGCTTTCCAGGAAATGGCTGTGGAGGACTGGTGACAGGCAGCTTAGGGGAACGGGGGACAAAGCATGAACCCATCACCAGTGAGCTAGCAGGGAGCCCCGAATCTCACCTCTTTGCTTCTCCTGCTCTAAGCCACGGTTATTTAAAGAAATCTTTTCACTCCTATTCTTCAAAGTCTTCCGCGTACCTGAGCTGGTTCTTCCTGGCCTGTATCAGAAACAGCGTGGCGAGTAGGGCCCGAGAGGTGATTGTCCCCCTGTACTCAGCACTGGTGAGGCCTCACCTTGAGTACTGTGTCCAGTTTTGGGCCCCCTACCATAAAAAAGACATTGAGGTGCTGGAGCGGGTCCAGAGAAGGGCGACAAAGATGGTGAGGGGTCTGGAGCACAAGTGTTAGGAGGAGAGGCTGAGGGAACTGGGGTTATTCAGCCTGGAGAAGAGGAGGCTGAGGGGAGACCTTATTGCTCTCTACAACTCCCTGAAAGGAGGGTGTAGAGAGGTGGGGGCCGGTCTCTTTTCTCAAGTCACAGGCGACAGGACAAGAGGAAATGGCCTCAAGTTACACCAGGGGAGGTTCAGGATGGATATTAGGAAAAATTTTTTCACTGAAAGGGTTATCAGGCATTGGAATGGGCTGCCCAGGGAGGTGGTTGAGGCACCATCCCTGGAGGTGTTCAAAAGACGGGTTGATGTAGTGCTGGGAGGTATGGTTTAGTGATGATGCTCCTTGTTTGTTGTGTGGGTGTCTATTTTTGTCAGTTTTGTCAGTTAGGTTGACGGTTGGACAAGATGATCTTTAAGGTCCCTTCCAACCTAGAAGATTCTGTGATTCTGTGATTCTGTGAAAGCAGGGCACTGCGTATCATGAGGATGCTGGAGATGGCCAGGGGTGGGAGTGAAAGCAGCAGGGTTCACAGAGGTGCTCCTCAGTGAAGGATCCGAGTAGAGTTGAAAGCAGAACGTGACTGCTGTGCCCATCTAGGAAGAATCACCCAGAAATATCAAACGCCACGACAGAAAAGAAGGGAAAAGATGGATCCTCGGTTGGGTGTTAACGTTTTGGATGGGAAGGTCAGGCAGGCACTCAGGGTGGGTTGCGGATGTGGCCCCGCTCACTCCTTCCAGGCTGGAACGTCTACGGAGTGCGGTGAAAGGAAGGAAAGGAAAATCAAAAAGGAGAATCCCAGATGGTGTTTTTCCAGGTATTTACTGGAAACGTTCAAGCTGGCTGAATGCTTGTAGTTCCAGGGATATATCACTGGAACAAGATACCCAGGGATTTCAGGGAGACTTGGATCTCTTAAGTCCTTTTTTTGCAACTCTGAAAATATAATCCCTAACTCTCTGTGACTTGTCTGTCCCAGATCTCCGTGGAGGTGAGTTTCTGTGTGTTCCCTCCCACGCTGACACAAAGCAGTCAGGAAAACCCAGTTCAGGACATCTGCTGGGGTTATCTGATAGGAAGTTTTATATTAGAATGATACCCTGGAAGACGTGCCCTTTCTGTAGAAATCATTAAGCTCTGCTATTGAGCGGACAAGCCGCGATTTTCTGGCTGCTCTCGCTGTTGACCTCCTCACAGCTTCCTCCCGTCCCACCCTTCCCCAGGGCACCTGGTGCTCAGGAGGGAACGGTGGTGCAGGAGGTCCCCAGCTTCTGCTTCCCTGGCGTTGAGCTGGATGGCCACCGCTGGTTTCACTGCCCACCCCGAGGAAAAACAATGAACATGACAAGTAGAGAGGTTGGTGCTGGTCTCTTCTCACAGGTAATTAACAATAGAACGAGAGGGAACAGCTTCAAGCTCCAACAGGGGAGGTTTAGATTGAACATGAGGAAGGAATTTTTCACTGAAAGAGTGGTCGGGCATTGGAATAGGCTGCCCAGGGAGGGGGTGGAGTCACCATCCCTGGCTGTGTTTAAGGGCCGTTTAGATGGGGTACTGAGGGATATGGTGTAGGGGAGGACTTTGTAGAGTAGGGTAGATGGTTGGACTCGATGATCCCAAGGGTCTCTTCCAACCTCAATGATTCTATGATTCTAAGTGTATTCCAGATGGGCATCCGGGTAGCAGAGAAATCTGTTTTGGTCTCTCAACATGCCATCTTTGTTTCCCCCTGGAATTCTCTTTGTGAGAGCAGTGTTTTGTTTTTTTTTACTTGTGGGGTGAAAACATGGGGGTTTCGACTACAAGGGAATTTGATTTACTGAGAGACCTATTACTCTTAAGTGATTGGGTGGGGGAAGAGTGGACACAAAAGATCTGGGCACGAGATCCTCTGATTATCCAGGTGGGAAGGGATCACCTTGGCAAATTTGGATGTT